AACATTTCAATCTAAAAATACTTATAACTCACTTGATTTCTTTAATATTACCTTTTAGAATTTCAAATACTAAACTTCAGGCTGTATCTTATCTCTTAAAAGACATATTGACAAGATTAGATTTACAAATTGTACATTTTCTAGCATTCTTTCAAATAGTCTTGGTGGTATTATATATTTCTAATAGGAACTAGACAAAGTTCAATAAATAGATCTAGTGCAAAGTTATATTACTAATATCTAAATAAGTTAAGGAGGACATGTTTTTTACTCAGAGTCACCAAAAGTTCTCTTAAGAATGATTAACAGTACTATAGAATGTTTAAAAGACAGAGCTTATTACTCTTCCATTTCAGAATAATAAGGTCTTGGAGTATTCTATATAAAGAACTCAATTAATTTTGGTTTATATTCTAAGAGTTCTATCTTTCAAAATTGTAGATCACCAGATGTAGGATCTGTATTCAATCTTTACAAGACCAAATTTATTGATGAGAATTCAATATTTTAGAACAATATTGCATCAAAAGGAGGTGCAATTACGTGCAATGAATGCAATTTAGATTTTACAGGATCAGAATTTTACAACAATCAAGCAAATTAAGGAGGTGTAATATATTCTGAATATAATGTCTACATGAAGCTAGATCAAATTAAAGTTTTTAATAGCAATGCTACAAGTGATGGTGGTTTTATATATCTAAGATTAGTTGATTCAAGTTAAAATACATCAAAGACCGTGGTTTAAATATCAAACTCAAAGTAGATATCTGGAAACTAAGCCTGAACTGGAGGATTTATTTTCTCATCTAATCCCTTCGCAGAATTCTACTTTTCAAATATTGAAATTCAAGATGCTAAATCAATTAGTAGAGGCGGCTTCATGAATATTTTAAAAGCATCTAAGATACAAGTCTAAAACTCCAAATTCTATAATTTTCAATCCCCAGATGGTGCGTTTTTATACAGTGCTTAAGGTTCTATTACTTTTAACATCTCAAATTCAGTTTTCTAATGTAGATCATATAACCCCTTAAAAAACAAAACATTTCAAATAATTGATCAAGCATATACTCCATAAACTGATTCTCAAATTTCAATTACGAATGCTGATTATGTAATATCTGCAAATAACACTTACTAGTACTGTGGAACTACTTAAAAAGGTGGAATATTTAAACTGCAAAAAACAAAGTTCTATGACTAGAATTCTTTGTTTTAATATAATTCAGCTTATATAGGAGGAGTTATTCAATGTTAAGAGTCTATGGTTGAAATCTCTAACTCTAAATTTTAAGGAAATGAAGCTAAAATAGGAGGAGTTTTTCAAATTGTGCAAAATTCTAATCTTACAATTCGAAAATCTTAATTCACTTCAAATTTTGCTTTATCAACTTCTGGGGTGATCTATCTTGAAAGTGGGTCAACTCTTTCCATATATAATTCATATTTCACTTAAAACTATGCTACTGATAACTCGGTAATGGAATTATAAACAATAACTAGTAGTGATAATCCTATTATTATTAAAGAATCAAATTTTGAAAACAATTGGTCTATCAGAACATTGATTTCAATTATGTATGCTAACGTTATTATTGAAGATTCAAATTTTATGAATAATATAGCTTATTAGAGAACTAAAGGTATTTTGTGCGGCACTGCCAATATTACATTAAAAAGATGTTAATTTTAAAATGATTATTCTCCTAGCTGGTTGGAAAAACTCCAAAAGGAGAAAACAACAGGTTCATATATTTTTTTGATTTCACAAACTAACATGCTTATTCATGACAGTAATTTTGTAAATGGATTAGCTAATCTTGGTGGAGCAATATTCATATCTGGCAGTAGTTAATTAGAAATTTAAGGAACTAATTTTTTTAATAATAAAGCTAAATCTAAAGGGGGAGCTATTTATGCTTCTGGTTTTAGAAATATCTTGATAAGTGGAATTAGTGATTTCAAAGATAATTTTGCTGTTGATTAAGGAGATGATATTTATTTGACGAATTCCATACATTAAATAACTCTAAACTAAACTTATATAAGCAACAAAAACGCTAAGAATTCTATATATATTGAATAAGCTAAGTTATAATCTAATCAACTAATTATTAAAGACATCTATACAAACAAAGATTCTAAGAATGGAGGGGCAATAAACTGCCAATATTGCTCTGGACTAGATTTGATAAATTCTAGTTTTACTAATATAAAGTCTGCCTAGGGTGGTGCAATTTACATTATAGATTCTGATTTTAGTAAAAGTTTTAATGATTAAAAGTATAAGATAACTAATACAATATTCAAAAACTGTACAGCTGAAACAGGAGGAGCAATATATGCTACAAACCCAGAATCACTTATTATTTCAGACTGCTAATTTCTGGCAAATAAAGCATTGTTTATTTAAGAGCTATCCAATCAATTCTAGAATTACGGGTCAGGTGGAGCAGTATACTATACGTGCAATCAATACTACCTTAATTGCCTCCTTAAACTTGAAGGGGTGAATTTGTTTAAATAAAATAAGGCATCAATTTAAGGAGGAGCTATATATTGGGATATACTCGAACCTCAATACAGTTAAAATGACATAAAATTCATTGAAAATTCTGCAATTTATTATGGAGATGATATTGCTTGTTTTGCATAAAATATAAAGTCAATATCAAAATAGTCTTACATCAACTAAATGATTAGAGTTGGTAACCAAATTTCTGAAGACAATATTTTAAGAAGAACTCTTGAAAATCAGCTGAAAGATTCTACATAAAATAATCACTAAGCAAATTTTAATAACCAGAGAAGTGGAGGGCCTCTGCCTGTTATGTATTTGAGTTTAGTAGACAAATACGGCTAAATAGTAGGATCTGATTTCAAAAGCACCCC